GATTTACGGATCATTTCGCAGCTGAAATACAGAATTGGTAAAAGATTTGATGCTCCAGCTGATTCCTCAAAAAATCGTCAAATTCACCACGTCAGTAGTTTTTATTAGATATCTGGCGGAATAATTTAAAAATTTTGAGGATGGTTTATATCAGTATCACGTTATGTTCACTGGCCGATACTGCAAATCTATGGCCTGTCGAGTGTCGTAGAGTGTTGGCGCCTGAAACTCTTTTTTTAAACTTCTAAGTGCACAAAAATTCCCCGTAAAAGGAGTACTTTTGTCAGCAAGACTGACTGACAGTATAAAAGCGTATTTGTTTTTAATTAGTGCCCGCAAACTCCATTACGCACGCGTCCGAAATTCGGCAAAAACTGTTTCTCCCCACTGATATCACTCAACTATGTGTGATGAAATTTTCACTTTCAGTTTTTCCTTCCAATTCCCGAAATTTTTAATAAAAAGCCTCTGTTGCTTTGCTGCTAATCAACTAGCTTTGTGAAATTTCTGGTCTGAAGAAATTCTCGTAATTTTAGCAATTTTTGCCATCAATTTTACCTGAAGAAGTATGGTGATGGTACCCGAAAAACAGGCAACTGAGAAGAGCAGCAAGAATAATCGGTCCAGCACCATTGCAACATACTTCCAGTCTTCGTCCACCTGTAAAAAACAATTAATAAATCTCAAAAATTGTCCTCAACTTTGAAGAGGAGGGAGGATGACTTTCACAAAAATCCCATGTAAGTAACCCATTTTAGCTGCAGGTGCATCTTGTACACTTTCAAATTCTTTTTTCCCTCTCTTGTCCCTCTCCCTCAATTTATTTCCTCTGAACTTGTTCTTTCCGCTGCTTTTCTGTTCTCGCCCTATTTTCGTCACTAAGTTTCAATCAAATTTTTTTTTTGAAATTTAATGTTTTGTTTCTATTCTTTGGTTTTCAACTGGCGCACTTGGCAAATCTTCAAAATCCTTTTAGTAAGGTTAAGTTGCGTTCGTGTTTGTCTGTCTGTGTACAGACATATGTGTGCACATATTTGTTGTGTGTGTGTGCGTGTGTATGTGCGTGCGTGTGTGTGTGTGTGTGTGTGTGTGTGTGTGTGTGTGT